TTGATAAGGGTTAACAACAAGGAAGGAATAAATGTTCTAGAAGTGTTGCGCGTAAGAATCTCTTCCAATAAGTCGACTTACTGAGAATTGATTAATTTCCTTAATGTAGCTACAGTTTTTTCATCTACGACTAGGCATGTACTTCTCCTTACGAGAAATTTCAGTGATTGTTAGTAGCCACCGTTAACAGCTAGAATTAATGCAATTTATTATTTGTAAAACCTGGATGATAAAACAAAAACTATCGACGTCGTAAGTATTCTTGTTCTTGTACAAAGATGATATACCTTGGTCCTATTCTACTGCCCCTCCTATAATTTAATTTAAAATGTTTATATAGATCTCTGTCAATAACATTGTAAAAATTACTCATAGAGATATAAATATATAAATAGGTGTATTTTTTCAGTAAAATGATTCCATATCACCTTCTTAGGCTATTTTACGCATCTTTCATTGTATTCCCTGCGGTAGGGAAGCCCATCCACGATTTACATTTGCTTTTGGATTAAACGGGGCAAATGACAGTTACGTTTGCTCATCACGTATCTCGACACAACTATAGAAATTCTCAGTTCAGTTAAGGTTACCAAATAATGACATCATTTTATCAAAGCTAATACTGTAAATGAAACTGACAAACATTTTTTTATATATGGAGGCATTCTGCTAGTACCACATGTCCCAGAAATTTTTTATTTAAGTTAGATTGTGATCAGCACACGACTGACGTCTGGCACGACAGATAGAGAGTCACAGACAAAACTTATTGACAAAGTGGATTCGTGACAATAACCTATACTTAACTTGTCAAAATTTTGAAACTTTACTCACTCTATTAAAGTCTCAAAATAGAATTACACAAGTCATATTTCCAAAAAATAACCTATAGTTGTAAAATTTAGCCCAAAATGTAAAAATAGCACACAAAGTTAGGAGTTCCCCAAAAATCAGTTTTAATTGAAGTACATTTGTAATATGTTGCAGGTAAGATAATGCATTTAAATTTACCAATTTTTAAAAATGCAGTTGCGTAAACTTTTGCATATACAAAATAAGCTCCACCAACAATTAATAAAAACGGAAAAGTTTCAGTGACTCTTCATAGAAAATCGCTCGCAAGGATTACATTCACAATACGACTTCATTGAAACTAACTATTAACTAACTTAACCCCTTACATCTAGTACATAGTTCTAGTTTTTAGTCCTTAACTTTCATGATTTTAACTTCGTCAAGTAAAACGGTAGGGAAAAACAGGTATACTGCAAGAACTGAAGAAAATTTTACCATATTAAAAGTTATAACGATATTTTTAGAAGTCAATTTCAGTCCTGTACTTCAAGAGATCTTCACGTTATATAACATAACCAGGCATTCATCAACGCAGATACCTCAAATTTAATAAAAAAAAAATCAGATGAAATTTTTCTGAACTATTTTATATTCTATATATCCATCAATCGTGGACTTTCTACTAAAAATTTTCTGTTATTAAACTTTTTATAATTATAAACTATGGATTTCAACGGTCAGTAGCTTTTGCTTCCATTACTGAAATTTAATTAATTCTTTTCAGTAAAAAGATGAATCCGAAAAATCGAAATAAGTAAAAAAAATGTTTACCGCTTCCTTTTTTAAGATCTTAAATTTTTTTAAAACGCCTGTACGCAAATTCATACTTTTCTCGGGATTTTGAAGGGAGTGAATTCAGCGTCGCTACACATCTTTATGTGTAATTCATAGGAAAATAGTTTTCCGGACTTCTGTTAGACCCTTGGCCTATCGTCTTGGCCGGAATTTCTACCAACATCTGAAAATATTAAACTTTTCCTACTAATTACACAATTACACTTATTATCCTAAGCGCTCATATTGAAAAATTACAAAGTAATAATAATTGATACATAACTATTAATACTTATAATAAAAACAACAAAACAATTGTGCTATCCAAATCCGTGAAAACACAATTTTTCTTGTTGTATTGGTAACAATTATAGACATTTTTTCTATGAATTCCATTTTTACATTAATTTGATTTTAAATTAAAAGCTTGTGTGTTAAATATCCTTTTTTTATCAGATAAAACCAAGGACTTTGTATTAAGAGGATGGAGAATGTATTGAGATAGTGAAACATTCGTTCACTCCGTACCCTGTACATTTACAATCTTTTTTTAAACAGCCCGCCGGCCAATCAGGTAGTACGAAATCAGTGGCGCCACCAATGTACGGTCTTTTTTTATCTTACCTTCGACCGTTAATAACGTTTTTTGCTCTACTTTTTTTTACATTGGTTTTCGATGAGCAGTCTTTGTAGATTGTTTTGGTTGTGAACCCTAATTGTGGTGAAATCGATAGGTTTCCATCACTATTTATGTTAAAGATACTCTCAATACACCACTGATTATGTATACTGTCCCTAGTTCTAATTCGGTTTTATGATGTGTAAAAGTTAACTTCCTTAACAACAGAGTACTACTTCCGGTGATGGGACAGACATAAATAAGAATTTAACCATGCCGTTACCATTATACTTAATGGTTACATAAGTCTTAAATAAGGATTTAACCATTATACTGTATAATGGTAACGACATGGTTAAATCCTTATTTATGACTGTCCCATCACCAACAGTAGTAATCTATTGTTAAGGAAGTTAACTTTTACACAGTGGGTTATTACCATAAAACCAAATTAGAACTGGGGAAACTATACTACAACTCGCTTGTTCACTACTTGTTCTCTCTTAAAACACGTTCCATCTTTATCTTGAGTTACTGTTTATGTGCTTTGACAAGAGGGGTCACTTATTGAAATGATCCTCCTAACCTTATATGAAACTAAATTTAGTAAAATAACATGGCAATGGCAGTAACAATCCTGGCTCTTTTGTTTTTCTGGATCATTACTACTGTGAACACCAATGTTTGTGATTCGTGATTCCTATATTCAGATGTCAAAATTGTATCAATCTTTCTTCTGAAACTCATGCAAGGCGACACTTAAGATCCGCCATTATCACTAGCAGTACACTTAGTATTATTTATTACAGAAACTGTCATAAAAAATACACTTTTTATGCCATTACATAGTTCAATTTAATGTTTTCATTCTGATAAGACTCCTTAAAACTCTCTAGAAATGGGAAATTCAAATGCTTCGAACTTGTTGTCTGCAATTGTAATATTTGATGTGGATTTCTACAATCACTTGACATATAAACAACACTATATGGTACCTATCATTTTAAAGTGTTGCACATTGATTCTAAATCGACGATTCTCTAGCCGTGTCCCGTCTTATAGGTATAACTTACAATTTTCAAATCTACAAATTTTTACGCAAATGATGTTTCTTTGTTAATAAGAATCTACACTAAGTAAAAGTTTTGCTGATTATATTTATATTAAGAATAAAGCTATTTTAATACTTCTGTCACATATGACAAAGATAAAACACAAAAAGTTGCAATTATTTTGAACCGATTAGTGGAACAAAATTTGCAAGATGAGCTGTTTGAACAATTAAAAGTTATTTATTGATTGGGTAAAATATATGGGTAAAATTGTCATGCATCGCCTATGTATATCGGTTTGTCAAACTTGTGTAACTTAACAGGCGAATTAAGACTAATGTAGAACGTAAATTAAAATGCAAAATTAAAATGAGAACATTTTAATAAATATAATATGGAATTGCGAAAACACAATTTTAAAAATTACAATTTAAGACAAAATTACTTCTCATGACATAATGTGCATTTAATTTATCTGCATTACTATTAATTGATAAAAATATATATCTTTAGTAAAGCCTTTGAGGTATAAAACATGAGTTGAGTATGGATAAGTCCCTTGATATGAGGTTTGAAAGTGTATTCAAAATGTTTAAGAGTATAAATTTTATAATATTGTTAGGTTTCAACTATTCACAAGGATAACACCTGTTAAGTCTCAAGTACTAATTCACACAATAAACAGACGTCAAGAGCAAGTCTGGAGTTTGTGTTCATTATTTTCCTAGTTGTTATAAACACTAACAATTTTCATTCTCTCCTTTGTGTCTAAAAGGAAAACTTGTAGCTTTAAGTTGAAAGTATGACCTTAATTTTCAAAAGTAATTTTACATTATTTTCATCTTATTTCTACGTAATTTAAATTCTTTGTTATTAAAAAATTTACCCGAGCAAAGCTAAAGAACTTCTACAACATAACGATTATCCATCAGCATATATTTCACTTTACTGAGAAGCTGGGATTTTATTTCATTAGGGGTAATACATGGAACCGCTCGTCTTCACGAAGAAATCGCTTTGCTTTAAGGGAATACACAATCTTGCTGCTTACATTACAGGAAATTGCTTTTATATGAAACAAGGGTACAAGTTGTTATACTAAAAATGCAACAACTGCTTCCATTAAAATAAATAAAGCGTAAGAGATTTAATACAAAAACGTTAGAATAAATTAAGTTGTTTCAAAATACCATTAATTATTATCATTCAAAACTTAAAACGGAAGTGAAATTAAAGAGTATTATCTACTGAAATTTCGTCAAAAAAAAGACTTGAAAGAGAGGTACATATAACAGTGTTTTAAATATCGGTAATTTATATATCCATCTACGCAAGATTATTTTAAATATGTTACAGAACTTACCTTAAGTTCATGTTCATATTAATTTCAAATAGTTTTCATTATTAAAAGTTAAAAAAAATACCAGTGTGCCTCAGATTACAATAACTTTATTTAATTATGAAAATCGTATTTCTTTTGTCTGCACTTAACTGTTTCTACTTACTTAGGAACTAATCTATAACCATTATATAACATACAATGAATAAAGTAAGTAGGTTGGTTTAATAGCAGCACTTTAACATTTTGTGGGAAGGAAAGAATAGGGTGTGAAAATATCATACCATTTTAGCTGCTGTAAATCAAATTTTGTTCCCTAGGTCCCATCGATAATAATATTTAAATGGTGAATACTTTTCAGCGTGTCGATATGAAAAAGGAACTTGGGGTGACTGTAATGCTCAAAGTTTGATGACGCGAAACGACAAGTTGAAGCCCAACAGCGACGCGAGCTGTGAACAGAACAGGCAAATCACAAAAAAATGTAAACCTAAGAGCGTCAAACCAACGAAAGGTAAAGGTAACAGTATCGACCATCTTCATCTCCATTTTATTTAGTTTCAGATTTACGTTCGCTTTAGCGACTTTTGTATCTCTCATACATTATTCACTTTATTTTCAAAGTTTTTAAACCCGTTTATGTATTTTCCATGTTATCCTGTATCGCATGATTGATGATTTAGATTGATAAGTGGTAGGCAACAGCAGCGGTTAAAGCAAAACGTAGGAGTTACCCATCCGTATTTCGCAATAAATTATTATACGGCCTGCATTTCACAAATTCGTTTCATCTAGTTAACGAAATCTTCAAATTACATCGTACAAAGTAAAGCTGTTCTAATTTATTCATTTTTATATCATCCAAAAGCGGCAGTGTTCATTCACGTTACGAGTAAATGAAAGCATCGTTTGTTGTCAGGGGGGCAATGCTGTATAATTACTTTTGTTTCTTTTCAGCCACTCGTCGCAACAGGCAGTAGAAGATATGAGGAATTTAGGATAAATCATTTTCGATATTATATACCATCTAAGTAATTCATTCATCTCAATTATAGTTCTTCTTTACATAGTTATGGGTGTAGATTATGGTCATTAAAAAGGTATTGTCAGCCCTTGCATAGGGACTTGGTTAATAATTAAGCTAAAGTAAATGGGTTGCTCTGGCATAGCTTTCTGGTTATTTCCTTTAACTGAAGCTAATATCACCTAATAGTCTACACCTATAAAGACCACTCTTTGCCATTAACCCTGTACGGCCCACTGCCAACAAAATCACAAAATGGATCCTTCTCATCCCCTCGATTGACCACCCTCATTACGTAAACAATGCAAATACCACCGCAGGCTAAACTGCGATGGAGTTTACGTTAATTTCAAATGTATAGATGTTTGTTGTAGGGTTGTACAATAGTATAATCATCGAAACTATGTGTGTAACATTACATATGAATATTGATTTAATATATGATATTTTCAATTATTGTTTTTGGTATGTAATATTTTTTACTTAACTATAAATGTGGATGTGGACTTAATCTAACATAATATTGTATCATTGTATTTGACACATTCAAACAAAAAAATAAATAAAGTGTTTACCATTATATTCTTTCTTATACAGTAGTTATTGTACCATCGTTTTGTCCAGTAGTGGTCCCTGACTTGCAGAGTGCATCTCAAACATTTGACAGAAATTTTCACTTTCAATGAAATTTTTTTAAATATTTACTTTAGACATTGTAATGTAGTGAACGTTACCTATATATGGTAACAGTAATGGAATATATTTTTCGATAGTAATTAAACCAAATTTAATTTTAATTAACCGAAAAAACAGCCCGCATATGTCGAGGAATTGAACACCGGTCTTCCGCCTGACTGATGGAGACAATTCAAATTCTAATTCAAGTTTAAAATAAACTTTGTTAATTATGATTGATTCATATGACGAGAGACAGTTCTTTGCTACTGTTTATTTTTATTTAAAAATCGTAAACATACGTGGCAGAATACATTATTTTAGTGTAGGTAACTTGAGATAATTAATATTTTATTTTGTAAATAATCTTTTATTCCATTTATAATTTATTTAGCAATCGAAAAACTCCAGTTTATAACCGGGTAGAGATTACCATAATGTTTTTATATTTTAATTATCATAGTAGTTGCAGTTAAAAATTAAAGCATAGATGCTTGACCATGCCTGACCTGACCTGAGCTGACCTGACCACAGATAAAGGAGGATGTCATAAGATAAATTTCAAGTCACATTCTTCACAAAATTTAATTTTAATTAGTTTTATTTTTTATACAAGTTGTAAATTTTTTTTATAATATTTTGAAATTCTTTGCAAAAATTTACATGCGTAAGGTTAAAATAAGAGTTTGTTAATAAACCTATTATAATAGAAAAGCGTTTCTGTTATCGTTTTACCATCTCCACGGTAATCCTAAGGTAAGTACGACTAAAATTTCACAGTATCTAGTGTCTAGCCGAAGTTATCCACACACCTCCACATCCCGACGAAGGCTTACATATACAAAGAAAATGTGAAAGGATTTATCATTTATCGGACTAACAACTATCAAACTGAGTCAAAACGGTGAAATAAAAACACACACTGTGGTGTCCCGATTTGAAAATTTGAATTTCGCGCTGAGAAAAAACAACACTTCGAAACCGCATTTGAAGAAAAAAATGTCAGTAACGTAGGAAATCATCCCTGTTTTAGTACATTTGGGGGAATAGCGAAAAAATGCACCCTGTGGTTGGTAGTTCTAAGAAATTTTGTAAGACGGTGCAAGTACGTTCCTAGAAGTACATTCACTTCCTGATTGGTACATAAATTTTTTCTACTCATTAAGGTTGAAGTTTGTCATTTTCCCATCGCTGGCAGTGGATGAAATTTCACTTCACCCTCTAGTGGAAAAATACTCGGCCGTCTACGATTTTAACGGGTCGTCCAGCCTGAGCGTTTCGCAGCTAGCGAAACGTGTCGCGTATCGCCTGCACCGACCGCACCGTCCGCTTCGCGCGCTTCGAAAATCATGACGCCTAGGCTGGACGACCCGTTAGTGTTTGACGTTTAATACTGCTAGTTTACACAAGTGAAAACAATGAACATGAGTGAGACTGACGAAGTTTCTGAAGAAATTTTGAATGCTGCCAATGCGGCATTTTCGAATCTGATACAAGTGCAGTTATTGATACAGGAAGCAGCCAACTAAGTTTAAACAAAGATACAAGTTCAAATAATACTTACGATAAAAGTGTAAATATTATTGGTGATAATTGCACAAATTGTTCTATTACAGTTAATGTATTTCAAAAATAAAATACCTACCATAAACAAACATTTATTTCCTAATTTCTTAGAAAAAATAGTATATGCAACTCGCGGATGAAGAAATTTCAACGGCTCGAGTTTCTTTTTCGCACTCGCTCGTTGCACTCGCTCGTGTGAAAAAATCACTCTCGCCGTTGAAATTCAACTTCATCCACTAGTTCCATAATGTACTATTTGTTTGTAATTTCACCAAAAAGCAATAGTTTAAACCAGAATGATTCGCATTCGACCCACTGTCCCCCTCAACGAGTGTAAGTAGTGACAGACCAGTTAATTTGCGATTTTGTAATCTGAATGTGAAACTGTCGAATTTGTCAACACGTTTTATTGTTTGTAAATTGATATTTCATGTTAAGATTTTTAACTGTTTCACTGTTCATTAGCATTAATAATAATACTCCCCTACAATTTAACAACAGTAATGGAAATGTTCCCAAAAACACGTGGCAGCAAATTCACTTATTCAGGCTCAACTTATTTTGGCAACGATATATCTAAAGTTTTGAATGTTTTTACTTAAGGCCAGTCGCATGGAATTTTCAACACATCTTCAGAATATTGTTACTGTTTTCATCGTGTCTGATCGGTTACCGCATCAATAGTAACCTCGGAAATTAATGTTTTTAACGTTCGTTAAAACAAGTGTAACATTTTTTATTAATTTTTGTTTATATAGGATACGTTTATTTCATCGCATTAAAAGCGTGAAAAAATGTGTCATAGCGTTTCATTTTTTCACGCATTTGAGTGAAAAAAAGTGTCGTACCGTGTCATTTTTTAACGGGATAAAACATAGAAGCCTGCCGTTGCTATGATAATTCATAAACACAAGTGGTTTGTGTTCATTTTTTAACGTTTTTTTTTACTCACTAGTTGCATAAATAACTATTAAATACGTATTTAAATAGATGAGTTGTGTTTTTTTTTTCTCGAATTATTGTATTTGTATGTACCTACATATTATACTTTGCTATATTAAATACGACCATTATAACTCCGGTACTTATGAAAATAAAAAAATTATAATTTTAAACGTTAATGAATAATGAATGAATTAATTAATTAATCTAACTCAGCTGACCTCAGCTCATATAAGTTAAACACTTAATGCCACTATGACTTTTGTATTTTATATATAGGTATGTATTGTTTTCCTTGCTAAAATCATAGGAATGCGATTCTAATATAAACTGTCATCAGCGTCATAAATTTGTCGAGAAAGAGATCGAATCTGAATACAACTGAAATTCTTCATCGAGAAAAAACGAAAAGCGTCGTTTAATTAGTGCTGAATGATTGATTGATTACTGATTAAGCCTGGATTAAGGGATCACACTCTGCTGTGCCTGACAGATGAAGAGAAAAATAAGACGATCGTGCAGCGCCAACTATAGGTAGAGAAAGATTTTATTTGTCGATCGCACATGTATAAACACAAAAACACACCATTAACGGTATTAATATATAACTCACTTTTGTCACTTCGAAAATGTTCTTGTAATACACACTTCCGGATTAGCAGTGAGACTAGGAAGCTTCATGATTGTGTATTAAGTAAGTATTGTCTCATCATATTTTATGCATTTTAGACAGGATTTATTCAGCAAAATTTTGGGGTGACGTTATAAATTTTTTAGAGGGGGGGGGTGAGCAAATACATTTTGATCAAAAATTTACCATGCTTATGATAACTTTAAAACATCTTCAAGATTTCAAAGCATTCGGTTTTGTAGTTCCTGAGTAATTCAATAAAATTAATTTACGCATTCATTAATTTTTTTGAGTCACCGTGTATATGCAAATCTGAAAAATATGAATGGAGTGATAAATCACAAGTATAGACTCATCATATTTTATACATTTTAGATAGGATTTATTCGGCAAACTTTTGAGCTGACGTCATAAAGTTTTTGGAGGGGATAACCAAATATATTTTGACTAAAGATTTATGATGTTCTTTATAGCCTTAAAACATCTGCAACATTTCAAAGCATTGGGGTTAGCAGATTCAAAATTAAATTGCAAAATGTTGTTTTATAATTTTGATTTTTTTTCCAAAAATCGGGACGTTTCGGGTAAAAACTCAGTTCGGAGTCGTAAACTACATGTGTAGGACTATGTTATTTTATACAATTTAAACCCATTTACTATGTACAATTTTGAAGTGACGTCATCGCATTAGTGGTGGAGATGATTAGAGACATTTTGGTTAGCGTTTTACAATCTACATGATATTCCTAATATAAATACAAAATTTGACAACCATCAGCCCAGTACTTTCGGAGATTACATATCTGTCTAATAAAACTCCGTGACGGTAGACAGACGGACAGACGAACAGACGGACAGACAGTAGGGACAATGAAAGGTCGAGAAAACGTAAAAGTAGAGGGTCGGCCGACGGACTCGATTACAATACTTCCTTTGCTTACGCTCGGGAAGTAAAAACGAGAACGGTAGTAACGAACCGCTTTGGGTGTTCCGGAGAAAATCTAGTTCACAGTGTCGAAGAACTGTCAATTCCTGAAGATGATTTAAATGCTCTATCGAAGAAACTGTTTCTGTGTGGAAAACTGAAAAAATGAACTGGATTTTTTTATTAAAATTTTGTGTCAATTTTGCAATGAGAAGTGCAATTTTTGCTATAGAATACTCCATATTTCTTTTTGTTTTAAAAGTACAGTGTTTTTTAAATTATGAATTTTTTTTCCAATGGATCTTTCATGCACAGTTCGTACTAAAATGGAAGTGATTTTTACCTGTTTATGAAATGTTTAGGGCAATGCTGCTACTATCCGTCGGTATGAGTTCGCAGTAAAGAAATACGCAGTGGACTTAAATTAGCGTATATATTAAGACAGTAACAAAACAAGTGTTCTTTACAAGTTATTCCTACGAACTAAAGGCACATATGTCTCGAGTGGCCAGATTGCCCCTCGAGGGTTGAGGGCGGTACGACCCGAGGCGAAACCCGATATCGGTCGAGTCTGCATGAGACGAAACATCCTCCCGCCCGGCCGTACACGTCCAAAAACAAAAAAAACAAAGGGTCTACATGGCTACGATTAATCTTACACGGTCACCGCACTGTCTTCCATGGGTAACACACAGAGACGATTGACGGCGCGTTTTGTCACTCCGGTGCCTGTTTTGACAGTCACAACCCGCACAATGTTGTCACTTCCTGGATGCAATTCCACAATACGACCCAGTTTCCATTGTAGCGGTGCGATATTTTCGTTCTTAAGGACAACCAT